TATTGTACATCAACTGTAATTTAAAAATTAAAAAGAGTTAGTTGTTCCCCCCAAAAGGAGCATTTCTTTGAGGAAAGTCACTGAGATGGATTTTTTGACTTTTACTAACTTTTGCATTTTAAGGTTGGTTAATACCAAGTATTATGTCCCTTTTCTTTATAGCATCATCTTTTACTATGAAAGTTTTGAAGAAAGCAGATTGTCCTGGCTTATTTCCTTCAAAATAAGTTATAAAGTCTTGAGTTTGCATTGTTTTGATTTGACCTTTTCTGCAACAGTCTTTCTGATGTTGAGCTAGTATATGTATTTCAGAGATAGACCACTTCTTTAATTCACAATGTGCTTTGAATATTCTAATTCCTGGTCATAGCCTTAATAAAGCTAGTGACTAGTGCAGAAAGGGGTCAGTCATTGCAGTATTCCTTCCAAACATTTCCTAAACTAGTGGCGACTTCCGCCAAGATGGAGGCGTAGGTGGAAGCACTACACCTTCTCGCACAACCAAGTTTAAAAACAACAAAGTTTTAGCAATAAAAACGCCGCCAAACCACAGAAAACTGAACTACACAGAAGTCTGACAACGAACCCTTCAGCCAAACCTGTAAGAGGGGCAGAGACAGCAGCAGAGTGGGGTCGGGCAGGAAAGATCCACCAGACTGACCTAGGCACGTGACCCAGGTGCGCCAGCAGCCGTGGGAAGATCCCAGGTGTGGAGAAGCGGGCGGACCCACTGAGGGCACAAGGCGTTGGACCCACTGAGGGCGCAAGGCGGTGGACTCACTGAGGGCTGACCACGGTCACACATTCGTGCTCCTTCACTGGAAGGAGCAAGCAGTGAGACAGACTGCGCAGGCCCCAGTGGCAGGAAATGGCAGAGGGAACTGCCATTGTCCCTCTCTTACCCCACCCCCACATACAGCATCACAAACCTGCAACCTGGGTGGCCACGCCCTGGTGACCATCTAAGGCCCCGTTCCTCATGCCTAACAGGTGCAAACAGAGCAAAATATGGCTCATGAACAACTCAGAGCCCCAGAGCCGATAAATCTAAGTGATGAAGAAATAGCCAAACTTTCAGATGCACAGTTCAAAACACTGGTGATCCGGATACTCACAAAACTGGTTGATTTTAGTCACAAATTAGAGGAACAAATGAAGGCTAAACTAATTGAAATAAAGGGAAATTCACAGGAAACCAGTAGTAATGGAAAGGAAACTGAGACTCAAATCAAAGGAGTATACCAGAAGGAGGAAAAAAATGACCAAACAGAAAAGAACAAGGAAACAAGACTTCAAAAAAATGGAGAGAGGCTTAGGAACCTTCAGGACATCTTTAAATATTCCAACATCTGAATTATAGGGGTACCAGAAGGGGAAGAGGAACAGCCACAAGTGGAAAACTTATTTGAACAAATAATAAAGGAGAACTTCCCCAATCTGGCAAAGGAAGTAGACTTCCAGGAAATCCAGGAAGCTCAGAGAGTCCCAAAGAAGTTGGACCCAAGGAGGAACACACCAAGGCACATCATCATTACATTAGCCAAGATTAAAATGAAGGAGAGAATTCTAGAAGCAGCAAGAGATAAGGGGACAGTCACCTGCAAAGGAGTTCCCATCAGACTGTCAGCTGATTTCTCAAAAGAGACCTTACAGGCAAGAAGGGGCTGGAAAGAAGTATTCCAAGTCATGAAATCCAAAGACCTACAACCAAGATTGCTCAATCCAGCAAAGTTTTCATTTAGAATTAAAGGGCAGATAAAGTGCTTCTCAGATAAGGTCAAGTTCAAGGAATTCATCATCACCAAGCCCTTATTATATGAAATGTTAAAGGGACTTATCTAAGAAAAAGAAGATTAAAAAGATGAACAGTGAAAGGACAGCAAACTCACAGGTATTAACGACCACACCTAAAACAAAAGCAAACTAAGAGGACAGCTAGATCAGGAGCTCAACCATAGAAATGAAGATCACATGGAAGGTTAGCAACAGGGGAGTGGGAGAAGGAGAAGCGGGGAGAAGGTACAGAAAATAAATAGCATAGATGGTGGGTAGAAAATAGATAGGGGAAGGGCAAGAATAGTATTGGAAATATAGAATCTTAAGAACTTGAGACACATGGTCATAAATTAAAGGGGGGAATGGTGGGGGAGGGGTGTGCAGGGTGGAGGGGAATGAAGGGGGGAAATAGAACAACTGTAATGGTATAATTAATAAAAATATTTTTAAAAATTTAAAAAGAAATATAAAAGTGCAAAAAAACCCAAACATTTCCTAAACTATTTCTAGAGACACATTCATCTCTATATTCTGTGATCTTTTATCTTTGACCCATCAATGTAAAAACTTTTTAAATTGTGATTCTCACCTGAGGCCATTTGTTTTCATTACTTTTAAAGAGAGAGCAAGGGAGAGAGAAAAACATCATGTGAGAGAGAATCATCGATTGGTTGCCTTCTCGTATGTGCCTGACCAGGAATTGAACTTGCAGTCCAGGTGTGTGACCTGATCAGGAACTGAACCCATGAACGTTTGGTCTATAGTATAATGCTCCAACCAACTGAGCTACAGGAGCCAAGGCTAACCAATTAAGTATTGAAGGAAGACAGTGGGAATGAATTCTTTCCCATTATAAGGGAAAAGCCCTTTCCCTTATGATGTTAACCTGTATGTAAGCCTCAAAATGTTCTGATTTCTTTGAAAGTCCTTTTGAAGAGTGGCCCATTTGGTTTTTCAAACAAAGCGGCATCTCTGGGACCCACTAGTAATGGCACAAGTTGTTATAAATAATGGGTCATAAGAGAATATATTCCAAACTGATTACTAGATTCTTCCCTATTTTTATGGAGGTCCAGAAAAACTGTAATGATCAAACATAAATCCTTCAGTGAAATGAAGAATTAATGAATACCTGCTCAGGTGTATGCTCAGGTAATTGACCTTCTCTTGCAGGTTGGGAAGGACCAATAATAAGTGTCTTCGTTTTGGGGAATTGGGAGCAAAGCAATTTCAAGGAGGCAGGGAGGAGTAAAAAGGAGGAATAGACATGGAAGGAAGAGAAAGAGAATCCACAGAAAAAGGAGGAATAAAGGGGCAGGAGAAAGGGCTTGGTTGGTCACATGGCGAGTCCTGTTAGAGGACAGGGTCCTGAGATTGAGGACTCCTGGTACAACAGGCATTCTTTAAGAGACTGTACACTTCAAGGGAGACAGGAGATATTTTATTTTTCAGCCTCCTCATACCAAGCAAAATAAGCTGACCATTGATGAGAAGAAATCTTAGAGCACTAAGAGTGCAAATAGGCTAGGGAAATTCCTAGTCTCTCAAATAGGCCACTAGAGTTGTAAATTGTCTTTTGTAAAGTTCTGACACTTTTCATAGGTAATAATCTGAATTTTCACCTTAGTAGTAAAGCATATAATTGGTGAGAATTTTGAAGACCCCTGAGAAGTGGATTGACAGTTTCCTATAATACTAAGTTTAAATAATAGCTAGTAACAAAACCAAACCAAGAGATGGCTTTAGGCAGTTCCTAACAAAACTAAACATAGTCTTCCCATAGGACCCAGCTGTAACTCTCCTGGGTATTTACCAAAATAAGTTGAGAACTTATGTCCACAAAAAAACCCAGCACATGAATATTTATAGCAGGTTTATTTTCAACTCCAAAAACTCAAAGCAAAAATGTTATTCAGTAGGTGAATGGATAAGTAAACTGTGGTATATCCATACAATGGAATATTACTCACTAATAAAAAGAAATGAGCTATCACGCCATGAAAAAAATATGAGAAACCTGAGATGACTATTGCTAAAAGAAGGTATCTTTTTAAAAATTGAATTTATTAGGGTGACAGTGGTCTGCAAAACTATTCTGGTTCCAAGTGTACAATGAACCAGAGATGATGTTAATGAAACATCATCTGCACACTGCATCCTGCACCCAACACCCCAGGTAAAGTCTCTTTCTGTCCCCATTTCCCCTCCCTTTGCCCACCTCCACCTACCTCTCACTTCCCACCCCCACCCCCCTGCTGGCGGTCACCACACTGTTGTCTGTGCCTATGTGCTAAGTATATATACATATGTGTGTGTGTGTTGGCATTTTGTTTGTTTTATTTGAATTTTTATAGGAATTTGAGCCAAACTGATGAAGTATGCTAGGAGCAAGATCTTAAACGCTCCTCCAGCACAGAATTTTTAGGGCAGTGAGAACTGCTCTAAACAATGGTGGATACATTACGTATATTTCAAAGTCCATAGGACTGTACAAAAAGAGTGAACCCTAATATAAATTATATGCTTTAATTAATAATAAATCTGCATTAATTTATCATCTGTAATAAATACATATACCAATTCAAGCTATTGACAGTACAGGAAACTGTGAAGGGTCAGAGCATACAGGAGCTCCTTGTAACTTTTTGCTGGGTTTTCTGATAAACCTAAAACTAATCTGAACAATAAAATCTGTTATTTAAAAAAATATAAACAAAACTTAAAAGGATCTCTGCAGAAACTTAAACGTCTTTAAAATTTTTCCTACAGACTCTTGATTTCAAATGAGTGGATACTTCATCTTTTATAAATGCTAGAAGAAAAGCTTAAACATTGAAACTTTACAGGTACTAAGTAATTTTTTAGTTATTCTAATAAATACATATTCAGAGAACCCTATGAATCCTACGAAATTTATTTCATCTAATCCTACAATAACGCTATGAGAACTCAATTGATAAATACTAGAACGGGCGTCTAATGTGGATTCTGTACTCAAAATTCTACCATAATACCGAATAGAGAGGATTAACTATTTCTCATTTCATCCTCCGAAACAATGAACGGCCGATAAATCTCGCGATACTATTGAAACTACTACTCCCAACAGGCAAAGCGGCTTCTGGTCACCAGCCTATGCCCGCTGGTCTGGAGGGCCCCCAGCATGCCTCGAGGCGCGAAAGGCCGCCTGGGCACCGTAGTTCTCCTTGACGCCTAGCGGTATTGCCAGCGCGGCGGAGGCGGCTCACTTGCCTTCAGCCAGTGTGTTCAGTGAGGGCGAGCGGAGGTGGAGGAAGGTCATGGAACTGGAGAAGCGTGAGTTGGCACGGTCTACGTGATAAAGGCAGGTGGCACCTTGGCACAGGGCTGAATTAAGTAAATGGGCTGGTGTTGCAGTCTCTCCAGAGACACTGCTATCTTTGTGTCCGCGATAGCAGGAGGCAGCATCCGGTCCTAGCCTAGTACCCATTCTTGCCCTCAACACCTGCCGCCATCTCCACCATGCAGTCCCGGGAAGATGCTCCGCGCTCCCGCCGCCTTGCCAGTCCCCGTGGTGGGAAACGACCCAAAAGGATTCACAAGTCCACGGTTTCGGCTTTTTTCACCGGCCCGGAAGAGCTGAAAGACACTGCTCATTGTGCAGCCCTGCTGGCACAGCTCAAGTCCTTCTATGATGCGCGGCTGCTATGTGATGTGACCATCGAGGTAGTGATGCCTGGTAGTGGGCCTGGCACAGGCCGCCTCTTCCCTTGCAACCGCAATGTGCTGGCTGCCTCATGTCCTTACTTCAAGAGCATGTTCACTGGCGGCATGTACGAGAGCCAGCAGGCGAATGTGACCATGCACGATGTGGATGCCGAGTCCTTTGAGGTGTTGGTTGAATATTGCTACACGGGTCGTGTGTCTCTGAGTGAAGCCAACGTGCAGCGCCTTTATGCCGCCTCTGACATGCTACAGCTGGAGTATGTTCGGGAAGCCTGTGCCTCCTTCCTAGCCCGCCGCCTTGACCTGGCTAACTGCACCGCCATCCTCAAGTTTGCTGATGCCTTCGGCCATCGCAAGTTGCGATCACAGGCCCAGTCCTTTATAGCTCACAATTTCAAGCAGCTCAGCCGGATGGGTCCGATTCGGGAGGAGACTCTGGCAGATCTGACTCTGGCCCAGCTGCTGGGTGTCCTGCGCCTGGATAGTCTAAACATCGAGCAGGAACAGACAGTGTGTCATGTGGCCATGCAGTGGTTGGAGGCGGCTCCCAAGGACCGGGGTCCCAGCGCTGCAGAAGTCTTCAAGTGTGTCCGCTGGACACACTTCACTGATGCAGATCAGGATTACCTGAAAGGGCTTCTGACCAACACCACTGTGAACAAGTACTGTCTGGACCTTATCAAAGGGGCCCTGCAGATGCGATATGGTGACATGTTGTACAAGTCTGTGGTGCCAAAGCCAGGGTGCAGCAGCAGCAGCTATGTTGTATCCACAGCAGAAAATCCACCCCAGAGGCTGGGGGTGTGTGCCAAGAAGATGGTGATCTTCGTTGGGCACCCTAGAGATCCCTTTCTGTGCTGTGACCCATACTCTGGTGATATTTTCAAAGTGCCGTCACCTTTGACTTGCCTTGCTCACACTCGGACAGTAACCACCCTAGCAGTCTGTATCTCTCCGGACTATGACATCTATCTAGCTGCCCAGCCAAGGAAAGACCTCTGGGTGTATAAACCAGCCCAGAATAGTTGGCAGCAACTTGCAGATCGCTTGCTCTGTCGTGAGGGCATGGATGTGGCCTACCTCAGTGGCTACATTTACATCTTGGGTGGGCGAGACCCTATTACTGGACTTAAATTGAAGGAAGTGGAATGCTACAGTGTTCAGAGGAACCAGTGGGCCCTTGTGGCTCCATTACCCCATTCCTTTATCTCCTTTGACCTAATGGTAATTCAGAACTATCTTTATGCTCTCAACAGTAAGCGCATGTTCTGCTATGATCCTAGCCACAATATGTGGCTGAAGTGTGTTTCCCTTAAGCGCCATGACTTTCAGGAAGCTTGTGTCTTCAATGATGAGATCTATTGCATCTGTGACATCCCAGTCATGAAGGTCTACAATCCAGTCAGAGGAGAGTGGAGACAGATTAATAATATTCCTTTGGTGTCAGAGACCACCAACTATCGGATCATCAATCATGATAAAAAATTGTTGTTGATCACCTCACGCACGCCACAGTGGAAAAAGAACCGGGTGACTGTCTATGAATATGACATTAGCAGGGACCAGTGGATTAATATAGGTACCACATTAGGCCTCTTCCAATTTGATTCTAACTTTTTTTGCCTCTCAGCTCGTGTTTATCTTTCCTGCCTTGAGCCTGGTCAGAGTTTCCTCACTGAGGAAGAGGAGATACCAAGTGAATCTAGTACTGAATGGGATTTAGGTGGATTCAGTGAGCTTGATTCAGAGACAGGAAGTTCAAGTTCTTTATCTGATGATGATTTGTGGGTCCAGGTAGCGCCTCAGTGATATGCACAGGATCAGCAGTTTGTTGTAGCTACGTTGAGACACTAAGGTTTTACTGCTTTGGAAAGTATCTTAAAGAAATACCTTTTCCCTTTACAGGAAAAAAGAAAGGTTGGTTGATTTCAGGTTTTATTTAAAAAAATATTGTTTGAAAGACTAATGTAATTTAATGTTAGAGAATTTAAGCACTCCAAAAAATAAACCTATTTAATAATTTACTGTGCTAAAAGTCCAGTATTGATTTGATTGTGTGGTATGTTTATGTTTGATTATGCTAATTTTGCCTTGCATTTTGTTTAGCGCCACAAGTACATTTTGTTTAGCGCCACAAGTACAGAAAACTGAGTGGATAGGAATTACTAGATATGGTTTTGAAAGTATATATTTTCCTTGAGAACAGTATTAGATTTCCAAAACTTTAAACTGAATTTTTACAAAGTGTGTCCTAACCTAAATGTATTTTACTAAGTTTTAGTTTAGTTTCCTCCTTTTTTGTGGAGAAAAAAAAGTGCACATTTGTTTAATGTGACTGAATGCTGATTTGTAATGTTACTGAATGTAATATTTTATAGAATGGCATTCACTGATAGTAAAAACAAAATAAACCAGGATTTTACTCTTGGAAAAGAAATTTCAGTTTTAAATTTGTAATATAAAATGTGTATTTGCAAATAGTGACCAATTTTTTATCTAAAAATAATTCCATTCTAGCAGTGTCACCTGTCATCTACAAAGCTTAAAAACCCAGTAACTTGCTTTGTATGTTCAAGTTTTTTCATCTATACGTGGTACATGCTTCATTGAATTAGAGGAATAATCCTTTTTTTCACTGGACATGATTATGTAAATTTTTATCCATTGTCTTAACTTATTGTGATTCTTAAAATATTTTGGCTATATAGTTTTAGTGTTCATCTTAGAAGATCGGTCAGCAAGATGTGATCATTCTTTACTGTTTTGCGAGGCAATACTGGTTTTGAAAATATGTATAAGCTAAGAACAGTATTTTATTGATTAATAGTTATTGTATCTATCAACTATAAAATCAAGTGCCAGAAAAGAATTTTAAAACTCTAAGTTTTAAGTATAGAACTGTTTTGTGTAGCACTGAAATAGTGTCAGTTTTGTAAGTCACTAAATGTTATTATCAGCTTAAAGGTATTTTTGTACTAAAACTTTACAGTTCAATAACATAAGTGGATGATGGCATTTGGGGCCAGTAGTGAAAGTATATTTCGTCTAAAATATTTCCAGTGGTACTTATGAAACACAGTGGTACACATGGTTATTTTATTAGGGTATTTGTATCTCATCTGTGTTTCTTTGTGAATTAATGTTCCGGTCTTTGTTTCTGTCACTGTATGTAAGAAAAAGTACAGAAATAGAGACTACATCACATAAAACCGACATTGTTAAATACAGGAAAATATAAATTCTTAATTACCTCTTAAGGTTTACTAGCTGTGGTTATTATTTGTATACATAATACATGACCAGATGCTTATAGTGTTTAAAATTTTCTATACCCAATTAGAATTATCTTCATTTAGTAACATGCTAATTCCTCTTCTATGTGTATTTGCTGGTACCAGAATACTAACATTTCATACACCCTGGCAGAGTGCTGAGGAGTGTGCTCTTACAGTTGGGAAACTGAATTTTTTAATGAAATACCATAGAATGAAAATGAAGAGAGGACAACACACAAGGTTTAAAAAAAATCTTCTCAGCCATTTTTATTGGCCATTTTTAAGAGTCTACAGAACATTCCCATTTAATATTTTTAGTGAAATAAGATGCTTTCTTAGCAGTATATGTTCCTTTAAAAGATCAGACATACTTTTAGTTGGCTAGGGCTAAATTTTGTTCCATTTGCCATCAAGGGTGTTATAAGCACTGTACTTATCACAAAGCCTTTTCTCAGTAGTGTTATTTTTTACCAACTTTTTCTTTACCAGTAACTTCTTTTCGATAGCTTTTTGTCTTTTCGTGTTGAAATAGGACATTGTTGATTTCATCTATATTATTCATCTGCAGAACTAAGGTATGTAACCAATTTATAAAAGACAGATTCTCCAATTTGTCATTTTCAACCTTTCATTTAAAGTCTAAGACAAATGGTAGTAATATCTTTATTGACAAAGAGATTTCTTGGGAAGAATTTTGGTTTTGTGATATATTTGGGAATTAGGGAATAGATGTTAACTATTATTTTATAGATAAGTGATTTGTATGTGGTTAGTTACAAATAAAACTGGTACTAAAACCCTGACTTTCTGACTTTTTAATTCAGTGTTTCTGTTGAATGTATCCAACCCTTGCTTCTGCAGTGAATGACATAACTAGCAGTGTTGAAATCCCTTCTTAACAGAAAAGCACCCTTGTCTTTGTTTTCCAATTAATCATTACATCTTTTAGCAAATTCTCAATACAGTGTTGTTTGCAGACTCCTATTATTAGATGTGGAATTACCTTAATTATCTTGTGTATCTGTTTCTGTACTCTGAAAAGCTGAAAGGGCCCAAATTTTTGCAAGTTCTTTTTAGTTCAAATGATGTGGCATTAAAGCTTCCAAAAGGATGAAATAGAAGTTAATTTAACAATTAGCTTGTCTATATATGGATTAAATATTGAAGTTAACTTTTTGTTTTTAGTTGAGCTGGAATTTAAAAATTGTTCATACCTAATCTTGTTGAGAATCTTGGAAAAGCTTTTAATCTATTCTCCCCACAAGGCAAGTATTTATAATTTAATATTTTAAATTATTTATGACACTTTTGAAGCTCATCAGACACAAAGTAAGTGCACTGTGGCAGTCTCTCTTTCTCATACCTGCTTAAAAACTTCCACACCCTTTTCATCATTCTAACTAACTTTAAAGGAACATTTATTTTAATAAATTCGATAAAGCAGGATAGTGTTAAGAGGCAGAATTATTTATAGAAAATGTATCAGTAGAATCCCAAGAGAATTAATATTATTCTTAGAACCAAAAAAAGGGTTCAATATATATAAACTAATTTAATAGTAATATAAAAACATAATTAAAAAATTCTGTTTACAAAAGCTGAGTACCATGAGTAGCATGAAAATAGGTTTTCAGAGTACCATGGAAGCAATAGGTTTTGTGCAGAATTGGGAGAAGGACCCCCTCCTTGACACTGAGCCAGATATCTCCTGGGCCTCTTATCAAACTTCCATTCCTCACATCTTTAAACCTTGACTCAACATTGAGGCACAGGGAGAGAAGGGAACATATGTTTTGCATAACATTCTGTCTATATCTCAGATATATTTTCTCCTAAAGCAGCTTGTGGGGAGTCATCTATCTCTACTGGAGTCAAACTTGTACATTCTTATTCCTAAAGCTAAAATTGTTGCTTAGAACCAAAACCGTTTCTCAATCAGGAATATTTTTTTGCGGGGGGTACACTAATCATTAATTCTGGGAACACCAGTTAAAACAGACTTCATGTAAATATCAGGCAGTTTTTCTTTTTTTTTTTTTTTTGGTCCAGTATATAATTTTTAAAAAATTTTATTGATTATGCTGTTACAGTTGTTCTATTCCCCCTTTCATTCCCCTCCACCCTACCCCCCATCCCCACCATTACCCCCCCTTTAGTTTATGACCATGTGTCTCAAGTCCTTCAGATTCTATATTTCCCATGCTATTCTTGCCCCCCCCCCGTCTATTTTCTACCTACTGTCTATGCTACTTATTTTCTGTACCTTCTCTCCCCTTATCCTCCTCCCACTCCCCTGTTGCTAACCCTTCTTGAGATCTTCATTTCTATGTTTCCACTCCTATCTAGCTGTCCTTTTAGTTTGCTTTCATTTTAGGTGTGGTTGTTAATAACTGTGAGTTTGTTGTCCTTTCACTGTTCATGTTTCTTTAACTTCTTTTTCTTAGATAAGTCCCTTTAACATTTCATATAATAAGGGCTTGGTGATGATGGACTCCTTGAATTTGATCTTATCTGAGAAACACTTTATCTGCCCTTTAATTCTAAATGAAAACTTTGCTGGATTGAGCAATCTTGGTTGTAGGTCTTTGGATTTCATGACTTGGCATACTTCTTTCCAGCCCCTTCTTGCCTGTAAGGTCTCTTGAGAAATCAGCTGACAGTCTGATGGGAACTCCTTTGTAGGTGACTGTCCCCTTATCTCTTGCTGCTTCTAGAATTCTCTCCTTCATTTTAATCTTGGCTAATGTAATGATGATGTGCCTTGGTGTGTTCCTCCTTGGGTCCAACTTCTTTGGGACTCTCTGAGCTTCCTGGATTTCCTGGAAGTCTACTTCCTTTGCCAGATTGGGGAAGTTCTCCTTTATTATTTGTTCAAATAAGTTTTCCACTGGTGGCTGTGCCTTTCCCCCTTCTGGTACCCCTATAATTCGGATGTTGGAGCATTTAAAAGGCAGTTTTTCTTCCAAAACAGGCATGTTTGTGTGTTAAAGAAAGAGAAGAGCTTGTACTCTCAATTGTAAACAATATTACCTTAATTTAGATCATCTTAAGAAAATAAAGTAGAATTTTTTGCCCATTGTAACTGAAAAACCCAGCAATGTCATTTATTGCAGGCACAGCCTGAACCAGAATCTCAGTGTCTTCAGGACCTTCTTTGTACAGAGAAGATCTCACAGATGTCTTCTCTCACTTTATACGTTAGTTAGGATCTAGGTGTGGTTATATATACAGAGACCTGACTTTTAATAAGACATTTCTCATATAAAAGTTCAATCTACTATTTTATCCCTGATCTAGAAACCATTTGGGTTCAGGCTTTTCTGTTTTCCTTTTCAGCTTGCTTAGGAGTGTTGTCCTGGTCCACATGGTACAAGTTGGTTCACCCTTGTGGGCATATTCTAGTCATGAGGAAGCGGGGAAGGAGGTGGGACATGACTCTTTTCTGTAAGGGAAGTTGGGCACATGGCATTGGTCAGATGTTAACCACATGGTCACATCTTTCACAGCGGTGCTTTGGAGAGGCAGTTTTTATTCTGGGTTAATATGTATATAGTTAAAGTTCAGGGACTCCTTATTAAATGGGCAACAAAGGTTATTAGGTTAAGTAGCAATCCACCATACCATGTGTCAGGCCAGATTTTATCACATGGCAGCCAAAGTGGTATCACCATCCGAGGAGTTACTACAGTTGACACAACATGGACCGGCCTCCCACCCAGGAAAGAGAGAGCTTCCTAGGTTCTTGCTGTTGCTCTGTACAGAAAAGGCAAGGGAACTTGACCTTGTTTTGATCACCTAAAACTTTAAATAGACTCTTGCATATTGGTAACCTAGATCATGAATCAAAGTCTAGTCTTAGCATTATATCATGGAATGTTCCAACTTCCCAAAGGGAAAGAAAACTAAAAAATGGCTCTGTATAATCAATTGCACTATTAATTATCTTAATAATTGTTGCTTCTGTTAAATAAGAGATAAAAGAATTAATAGAGGAATAAAAACTGACAATTTCTTAGAGCAAGCTAGGCTATTTAGCAACATTCTAGCATTTTCTGTGCCTAGATCATTTGTGCTATGTGAGTGTAATCTACTCCTCTCCCACTCTGTTGAAACGCAGACCATTAGCCACAATAGTCTAATCAAACCTTAGTTTCTTGTGCTTGCTTTGGCAGCACATATACTAAAATTGGAAGGATACAGAGAAGATTAACATGGCCCCTGTGCAAGGATAACATGCAAATTCGTGAAATGTTCCATATTTTTTAAAAAACTTGATTGATGAATTCTTATAATGACTTCAGGTTAATCATGTCCCATTTTATGTTTGTGAATAATTGCTTCTGTCACATATGTGATATAACTTTTATCATTATAACTTTCCTTACAAATATGCATATTTATTTTAAAAACACATTCAACCCTTGTTTTCATAAAGAATCCTAACCTCTGCTAGCAAATAAGGAGTAAGTAGTATTTCAGTTGTAGTTCTGTTTCTATTCTTATGTTAACAAAGACTATAAGACTCCATTTTCTGTTTCACTTCTACTAAATCTCTTAGAAGCCTAAGGGCAAGAATTTAAATATATGCTGTGACTGGATTTTTCTCCATATTTTGTACTTACACTGCTTGTTTTATATCACAGTCCCATTGCTTTCCTGTAAGGCCTGCCTCACATGCTGGAATTATTCAGTTTATTGATTTGTTTACTCTTTATTATGTTATGTGTCTCCTGCACTAGAAGGTGCCCTCCATCATGGAAGGACCACATCTTTTTTTCCCACAGATCCTAACATAGAGCCAGGAACAGCATAGGCACTTGATGAATATTTGTTGAACAAAGAAATAAATGTATTTGGTGCTTGCTTGCATTTACATGAGAAACCATTGCATTTAGAGCTCTCATCTTTCTGTCAATTTTCCTGCTTTGAGGGAGTGCTATTATTAAACCCTTTTGCCTGGTTGTCATAGCAACCCTCTGGTCTCCAGTGCTACAGGTTACTTCTAATGGGCATATCCTTGCCAGACTACCAAATACTCAGTATTTTCAACTATGGGATAATGATGCTATTATAAATCACATTTCTCACAGTATATATTTCTGTCTTCTATAAAAATGGTAAAGAATTAGAAAGTAAATATGTTCAAACCAATGCAGGCTCGGGAAAATAAAGCAGCGTGACACATTTCAGTTCCTAACCTTTTCATATTCTCTCAAGTTCGTCACCATTTCACAAGCACATGTGAATTCATTGGGTTTTCTGTCCATGTTTTTAAGAAAGTTTTGAAAGTTAGTTGCTATAAGACAAACTCTAAAGAGCTCTGGTAGAGCTTGTGTTTTTCTTCTCCTTGCTCATTTCTTAAATTTCATGTTAAATCAGCAAATGACAGTAGTGTTACAAAAACAGATTTGCTCTGAAATGGTCCAAAATCAGGTACTTCCCTCTCCCATTCCTTCCACTCACATGTTAGTGGCAGGAAGTGAGACAGGTTTTATTAAACTGAATTAGTTATCATAGAAAACTCATTATCAGTTCAATAAAACAGGGTGCATATGGGCCCTCAACTAGCCATAAATGTAGTTTTTAAAAGGGAGAGTCTATTTTCTAATGGTGGATACTCTAAGGAGATTTTACGTGTATGTTTTGCTATATTTTCTCTTCTGCAAGTTTTGGTCACATGCTAGGGAGAGTCAGGAACCACCCAGGTCCAACATAGATCTCATAATAAATATTTCATTACACACTTCCTCTGTGCATTTCTAATTGTAATACCGATTAGTAAA